AAGCCAAAACTATTAACAATAAAAAATCATGCATCAGAGAATAAAATCAATTAAAAAAATCACAGGGATTTAGTGTTTTAACGCCATGGACAGCCAATTTGAAAGAAGACATGACTTGTGCAATGCCAAAACAAATTAAAAAGTATCGACAGGCAGTAGAATCGCTCGGATTTAACCTTATAATAAATATATATCATGGAGTCCGGACCATTAGAGGACTTCAGGGCCAGAGTGAAAACCATCTACTGGACCAAGCCACATCTCAACTAGACAGCATGATACTATAGTACCCTGTGTGCATATTTGTAAATACGTACTTACTGATTTTAATGTAAATGCCATCCAGTTTTCCTTGACATTTACTTTTGACTAAAGGAGTGGCCTTTTTTTTTGTTTAAGATGCGCCCGAGTCAACTACACTCAATGACAGAATCCGTCTAGTAACCAAGAAAGAAGGAGAATAAAGACAGAAAGTAACGATCAGAGAGTCACACATGTATTTACTTTACTTCATAACATGCCAATTTGTCAATTTTTTTCAGAACCTACTTTAAAACGCTTTTCTCCTTAACATTTTCCCGCAGTAACTATGTACATGTACCCTTAAACGATACTGGAACATACTTAAATAAGATATAGGAACAATAATTTCCGGTATATTAAAGATTCATTGGGATCTAAAACGTTTGTGAGTTGGTTTATAGGGAAAATTAATGAAAGATCTTGATCACACTTTTCTCAAACAGAGATTGAAAAAATGACGTATCTGCTGAAAAATTGATTCATAAAAAAATTAATTGAAATAAGTACAGGCATAAAAACGCAAGTGATTTAGAAATTAATCTCTTTCCAGGAGTTAAAAATGACAAAGAACAAAAAGAAAATTGTAACCCTTAAAATACTATATTGGCCTTTCCTCAATTTCACTTTTTTTCAGCCCATTACAATTTATATGCAGAGCAATATTCTGAATGGATGAAAATACAAAGCAAAAAAAAAACAAAAAAACCAATTTTCAACATAAGCTAAAAAACCGGCAAGTTTTTGGAAAAGCTATCACTTGTCACTGATAGAATATGCCCCCATTGAACCGGATCACACATATATATATATAATATAATTCGTCTGAAACCACGTGTTATCTGTCTTAAAGTTGTCACATGTTTAGACGTGTATATATAGACATCATATAACCTTTTAAACAAATTTATATTTAGATTAATATAATGGGGAGTCCCAATTAACCAAAGTAATATATAATGCTGCAATGCTTGAACTTTAGAAAGCTTCATAATTTAATAAGGTAAGAAGTGATAGTTTTTTCGCTATTTGTTCTATTTTATTTTGTCTTGTCACAGCTATGAAAAAAATGAATTAAAAGATATCGGAACAAGGAAGATCTATGCAAGTATAAACTATTTTTACCTGTAAACACTCCCTCAAGAATTTCATTGAATATTTGATTTAAGTAATAAATATTTAAAACTGATTTCTCCGAACACATAAAGATATAAAGGATCGTCAAATGTTTGCTTATTGCCGTTATAAATTATATATAGTAAATGATATGATCAAGATTGTGTACTACAGCTTTCCATTTCTGTAGGTTGGTAAGTTGTATTTATGCAGGAACCTTTAATAAAGATAAAAAAAAGTAGTCGAACCTAGCCAGTCAACACTGAGGTTGTGAGTTCGAATCCCGCACGGGGCAGGTGCACTCGACTCCAATCTTAATTGACTAGGATTGTCAGTTTTCCTACCGAAGGTCGGTGGTTCTCTCCGGCTTCCCCCACCAATAAAAACTGACCGCCATGAAATAGCACAACAGTGTTGAAAGTGGCGTTAAAATACCAATCAATCAATCAATGTATTTAATATGCAATACGTATATATGATTTTAATACATTTCTCCTTCAATCATTTCTAATATTATAAAAAAAAAGACAAACACAAAAAGTCCTCCTGTTAATCATCTGCGCACTCTGATCGAGACGGCTATAGCGTGTTATAGTAGTCTCACTCTACGCACACAAACAACAAGGAGTGGGGTGTAGAGTCAAGGCAGAACAATCAGAAAAATGAAAAAAAAAACTCACAAATATTTGGCCATTAAGAGTAAGTGAGGTTTTCGGGAATCGTCAGACCACTCCATTTAAATTTTGTTTCTTTATGCTTTTCAACCTGTCAGATATAGTCATATGTATATATATAATGACGACGAGGAAAGGCATAACATTGACCACCGAAAGCTATATTTTTATGTAGCCTATGCGGTCGAGTGGTCTTGGACGATGGACACGGTGTAGGCGGTGTTTCCACGATGTCACAAAAGCAAGGGTTCGAATCCCGCTGAGGGAAGAACAAACATTTGCTAACGCTTTGGAGATCTAACATTGTTCGGCTAAATTTGAGACGAATTCTATATAATATGAAAGACATATTCATACAACTTAACCAAGACGACCATTATAGATTACGGATAAACTTCACAAGTTTTATATACCTTTACAAAAATCTTGATTTTGGAGACTTGTCCATACCTGTTTTAAAGATGTGTTTTATTTGCTTGCTCAACATTCTGTCAGTTGTATACAGAAATCGAAGTCATAGAGACAATCTTAGTCTTCACAATAATTTTTTGACTTTACAGGCCCGAAGCTGAATTTTATGACAATTTTAGTTAGATTCTATTGGCATGTAGAGATGATTTTTAGACAATTTAGAACTGATTTGAATTGTTGGAAATTTTATGTGACTTTGTTTTATTATATAATGTAATTATACCATGTGCATGATATCAACAATAATCCATGTTATTATTATACCATGATTATAATCAATTACAGAAAAAAATACCGGTAAAGCATAATTTAATTTATTACACAGAAATGGCCCTGCTATCAACAATGTTCTTCGTCAACAGTTGCTTAATAATGTACCAATGGTTAGTTTTTTCACCCGTGTTTAGGTAAGTACTGCAAAAATATTATGGATGAAGTTATTTTTTCAGTTGAATTACAAGTTCATATATTGACCAGAAAACGGGAGCGATGAGATATTGGTATTTAATTAGATTGCATAACTTACTGATATTTTGAAATATGGAAAGATACAAAGTTTTGGGTGTTTGACAGATATATACAAGTCTTTCATGAATTATACTTAATGTCTCTGTTCCAACCTTTATAACTGTCAAGTCAACATCTGGTATCATCAATCAACTTTCTCATCAGAATAATGACTCTTCAGGTGGAGGAAGTATACTGGGGCTTCCCCTTACTAAGTACAGTTGAACCTTGATAAATTTGTCAGAGTCAAAGGGAACCAACAAAACTATTTGACTCTAGTCTGCATTGCATCACGACACATTTCCTCTATAATGTCTATTCTCTCTCCTTATGAACAGTAACCATGGAGTTTCTTTTTTGTTTGTTATAACCTTTTCTTCATATAAATTTATTTATTTTGAACTGTGTTGTTGGGTCATTTTGTAGCATAATTATCAAAATTAAAATGAAAGTACACGGCCCTTGCATGATATAATTTCAATATGTTCAATTGATTTGAATAACTATATTGTCCACATGGGTTTCCTGAACACTTGGCAGTATCAATTGCAGTGGTATCTAGAGAAACTAATCTCCTGTATGTTTGAAAAATTAACAATATTTATATAAATATCATATATTGGTTTCAAATCATCATGCATGATCATAAGAAGTTATCTCTCATTTACAATGTATAATTTCTGTATGTAAACAGATTTTTTTACATTACATTCCATTTTGATATCTTGCAATCGGTTATTTACTGATAAATATTTTTATGAATAAACATAATTTGCATTAATTAGGAATTCTAAAATAGCCAAAAATAAGAAAATGACTATGTCCATGCTCTGACTGATGGTTAAAGTGGAAAGCAAAAAACCGCCATGGACTCTCCAATCAATCAAATATCTCGGTGTGAACATCACAAGTACACATGTAACTTACACTGGAGAAAACAGATTGAAGAAATCTGTAATAAATCATACAGAACACTGGGATTATTAAAACGAAACTTATCATCTTGACCCCAGGAAGTAAAATTACAAGCGTACAGCTCTTGTGCCACAACATCTCCTCCACTAAGTACAATAATAAGGCCCTCATCATTAGGGTTTCGGACACATTCATTTAACCTCTTATCAAGCTGCTTTGTCATGGCTTGTCGCAGTTCAGATATTGGATTTTCCTTATTGCATAAAAAACACACACGACATTCAATGCTGGTTCTTCTAATCTTTCTTTGTCTATCGTCTGGAGGATCATACTTATATCTGACCTCTTCCTTGCCCTGTCTAGCTTGGTATTTTTTAACAATAACCTACAGTTCTGGTGATATTTGGCATTGTTCCGTCTCAGTGTGTCTTCAATACCATCACATTCATCTAATCTGATGGGATTTGAAATAATAGGAAGTTGGTTGATGGCTTGAAAGAGTGGAATGTTTGTTGCGGTCATATAGTAGCCATCATTTTCTGCATGACGAGTGAGTTGGTGGAGATTTAAGATCTTCATCTTTTTTGTCTGTCTGACAAAGGCAACAACTGTTCCAATCAGTTTGATACTTGGATTTCAATGTGGTCACACTTGACATCCTTATAATATTTATCTTCATAATTTCAACAGACTGCTGTAATTATTTTATCCTCTTGCCACCTTAAACTAAACGCTTGTTATGTTAATGGCGTTTTCCTTGACAAAATTTATATAAGGATATAAATCTTGAACTTATACAATTTCAAATTGTATTGCCTTATGAATTGTGAACAGTAAGTTTGTGACAATTAAAAAAAGTAATGTAGAATATAACTGAAAATTCACATATTTACAATAACAATTAGGAGGAGGAAGATGTGTCTATCCGTAAATGATAATGGGAACAGTCTAAAATGTTTAAATATAATATAGTCTTATGCTTATGTATATAAGCAATTACAGTATTTGACATAAAAAACATTGAAATTAAACTACTAAGTTAAAGACTACTTTTATTTTCAGATTTTATAAATCAGGATTAGCGGCCATCATGAAAATGGCCACCATTTTGAAAAGAAAGATGGGTAACGGGTTTTTTAAAACAAATGTTCTTAGGAGAGTACCCATGCAAATTTAATGCTTGTACAACAAATTGAACAATTTTTCTGAATATTGACGTAATCTGCCGGGCTACTATGGTTATCCCCACGAAAAGAATACCTGTATTTAATTGTGTGTTATTTTTTATTATTGGATTTTCGTTTATCTCCTTAAAAGGACGAGCATTTGTTTTGTTCGTTTTGGACACACTCCCTAGCTTAATTCAATAATAGTTTTAAACGAAATCAATGAATTAGTGCTACTGTAGAAGCAAAATTCCTAATTTTCAGATGTCCATAGGACTTTTGATCGGTTTACACTTTCCATGTATACATTGATACAGTATGCATGATCTATTTGCCATGGGACATTAAACAAGTACTTTAAATTCATAATTGGCATAACTATTTACTTAAAGATGGTCATGTAATTCAATCAGTGAGTTTTTGTTTTATAATTGATAAAATAATTGATTTAATGAATGCCTGCTATGATCATTTGCCATTGAACCGGATAATATATATTAGATGACCTATATATATATACAAATTCATATTTGAATTAAATGAATAGAGTAATATAATTGGGATTCCCAAAATATAGATATAATGTTGCAATGCTTGCACGCTGGAAAACTTCATACTTTTAATCAGGTAAGTAGTGATAGTTTTTTTCGTTATTTTGTTAGTTTGTTTGTTTTTGTTTTATTTTCTTTATTCTAATTTGTCTTGAATGTCACAGATATGAAAAATGAATATAAAGATATCGAAACAAGGAAGTCCTATTTAACGTGTAAGTATAAACTATTTTTACCTGTTAAACACTCCTTCGTGTATTTCATCGCTTATTTGATTTAAATCATTATTTAAAACTAATTTCTCAGAACACATTAAGATACAAAGGGATCGTCAAATATCTTTTTAACACAAAATTTGCATAAATCATAATAACAAATTAGCTTATGGCCGTTTTAAATTATATTGTCATTGTGAACTATACATGCTTTTTATTTCTATCGGTAAGTTGTATTTATGCTCAATCTGTCAGATATTTCAACTTTGCCGCGTTAGATTTTGTTTTACTCCGTTTGATCGCGGTGTGTACAAGACTATTTGCTTAATATTCATAATGCTTAAAACAGTAAAAGATATAATAAGAGAATTTTACCAAGACGGCCATTAGAATAAGAACAAAACTTGACAAGTTTTGGATAACTTTACTCAACTCTTAATTTTGGGGACTTGTCCCTACCTTTAATATGTTTTTTTGTGTTTTTACTCGTTTTTTGGGTAAAGATTGCATTGAATTTTCCTCGGAGTTCAGTATTTTTGTGATTTAACTTTCTATTCATACTATTTTCGAGACAATCTATCGAATTTGAGAAGGCCTTAAATTCGTTTTTGGAAAATTTGAAAAAGTGGTTACTATTATAATCAGTTGTAGTTATGTATCGTTCTTCTCACACACTGTACTTATCTAACGTGGCCGAAAAAATGTACTGCTGATTACAGTTGGGATGAGTTCTTACTTTTTTACCGAACTGTTAGAATGATATGTCATATAATTCGCCGTTTCAGAATCTAATGCATTCCGGGTAATATATTCAAAAGCGTACGCCAAAACGCTGTGATTGGCTTACAACGTCCACAACAATTGAATTATAACCAATCATGGTCCTTTAGATTCTGAAATGTCGAATTGCTATCAAAGGTACCAGGCTTATAATTTGGTTCGCCAGATGCATCTTTCGAATTAAAAAATTTAGAAGCCAAATCGAATGTGAAGTGTGAAAAACAACAGTTTTACCCTAGAACTGTCAGAATCTGTTATTTGGTAAAACAGCTTCTGCCAAACTGTTTCAACAGATGTAATGACTATTTTAGAATAGTTCTGACAGTTCCTTTTTGTTATATTATTTAATATATTGTGGTAGAGTGGAATTTAAATATCAATATTACCATGTACATTAAATCAATAATAATGCATGACCATTGTTATACCATAACTATAATCAATTACAGAAACAAATAAATCATAATTGCCAAAAAACAGAAATGACCATAAGATCAACAATATTCTTCGTCAGCAGCTGCTTTCTACTAATGGTGAGTTTTAATATACTGTTCTCAGGTAATTACCGAAATTATATTGGTTTTAGTTTAATTTTAAAGTCATGTGAAACTTCAAATTACAAAAAGACGTTGAATATGTTTCAAAAACTTGAATGGCTAAATTTGACTATGAAACAAGTGTACGTGAAATTTCTTGTAAAAGAAAATCCTTTATATTATCAGAATCTTCATAAATGTACTTCTATTGAATTTTTGTCTTCCCGTACACTAATTCGCCGATATTTTCCAGTATGCAGTGACATTAATCATGACACCTTTCGTTATAAATTCGGCAAGCGCACAGCGCTAATGCGAGGGACAAACAGTGATGTAATTAAATTTTAACAAACGAGGAATGAAGATAATATAAACCGATTGTGAAAGAATAATTTTAATTACACAAAATCATTTAACAACTGTTATGAGGGTCTGTATGAAGGGGAAAAGGGGGGGGGGGGTCCTTCAATTATGTATTCTTTATTTTTCTCAAATTTTTATATATTTTGCCAATTTTTATCTATTTTTTTATATTTTAGCACCCCATTATTCTCTATTTTTTGTTTTGTAGACTACTTTTCTCTATAATCTTTATTTATCTTCACCGTTTTCCTGTAGTATTGGCATATTATTTTCTATTCTGTTAGCCCCATCCAGTTTCTTTGTTATTACAAAATTTAATTAATATATGGGACCGCATGTAAAACATAAAAAAAAAATTCGTTTCATATGACTTTAACCTATAATTCGTTTACGTAGCAGGATTGAGAAGTAAGAGTTTAATAGATCAGAAGGATATGGTTTAAAAATTAACGACACAAAATCATTGCATGCACATGAAAAAAAGCAAAGGAACAGTGTTTTTTGCTGTTTTCATTTTAAAGTCAAAGTGATACCTTCAACATGGAGCAACTGTCATCTCACTGCAAGTTCTAGGTGACTCCTAGCACCAGGTTGAGGGAAAATCTTTGCTAGATATCGACCACTGAAGAACACAGCTGCCGATTTTTGTCAACACAGAATGAATTATAACTGGCACATAAATCTAGCAAACACTATCATAAATTTGATTATGAATGTAATATCTAAATATTTTTGTCCGTCTAGAATTGTTTCTCATTTAAGTTAATAATTTAAGGAATAAACAGATACCAGGTATGTATAGAAGGTATCCTGAATAGCAAAAACATTTCCTTTATAGAGAGTTGTTACTCAAAAAGAAGCTATTAACACAAGTTCCGCGTAATGTAGTTAAAATTACCTCTTCAAAAATTTTACGGACGCTATAACGAGTTGGTTGCCCGTTATGGTAAATCTGATCCACAGATATGTTCCAATTGCCGTTACCACAATCCCATCCTCCTTTTCCCCCGAATTCGACCTACCAAATTAGATATATCACCGTGTTTGTACTTACATGAGCAACACGACGGGTGACACATATGGAGCAGAATCTGCTAAAACTTCCGGAGAACCTGAGATCACCCCAGTTTTGGTGGGGTTCGTGTTGCTTAGTCTTTAACTTTCTATGTTCTGTATTGATTGATACCGTTTAATCTTGTCAGTCTTTATGGACTTCCCCTTTTTGAATTTGCCATGGAGTTCGGTATTTTTTGTTATACGTTTTTGTATTTGGTATTTTTCCTTTTTGTACCATGGCGTTGTCAGTTTATTTTCGACTTATGAGTTTGAATGTCCCTTTGGTATTTTTCGCCTCTCTTTTTACTCCATTAATTGTTTGAAGTTTGCCATCTTATTCATGTATCTTCTTATTTTCTATCCTACATACTTTGAATGTTTTAATACACCCTACAGTTGTGTTCCAGAATTACCATTTTGAAGGAAGAGTCATATAATAAATGACTTGTGGAGGTTGTATGTTTTGTGACACCATTAAACGTTTACCATCGTATATATATATATATATATTGAGGTAAATTATGTGGCCTTCCAATAACCGTTTCGATTCCTAACATCACTGAAGAGACATTGATTGTCGAAATCCGGATATGGTGTACAAAAAATCTTTGCACCTTTGTTTGCGGTATACCATCTTTGCCGCAAGTTTTTTGTTTTCTCTTTGGTATTAAATTTATAGTTAAGATTCATTTATTACACCTTGTGATCCGTTTATTTGACAATCGCCAATGGTAGTCAGCAGGGTTTAAGAACATTTGTTGTTCGACCTGTTAGTCAAATGCGTTTTGTTAAAATATACTTTTTCACTTCTTTTGGTCTTTTTAGAAAATGTTGTTTGTGCTGTATTTAGACCCCTCTAACAAGAAATTTGTTTTGCATGCACACGTATAAAAATTGCGGTTTTTATCCAACGTAATCATAGGTTTGAACGTTGTTTTCAATTTAGACTTGTTTATATATATATATATATATATATCGATTCCACCTTCATGCCTAATATATCATGTACTGTGTTAGATTCTACTGACAAGGAAAGGTAACACTAGGCCACCGAAAGCTGAATGTTTAAGTTCAGTCTAGGTGGCGGAGTGGTCTAGAGCGCTGGACACAGTGTAGGCGGTGTTGTCACGATATCACAATAGCATGAGTTTGAATCCCGACATCTTCAATCGTGTCCCCTATTATGGAATTGCCGTAAACGTTATTGACGTCACTGATAACATAATAGCGCTTAAAGTTTTGAGGCGTTCAGGCGTTTAATGTGGACACGTTTTGGCGAATAACAATTATCGGACACGTTTGGGCGATATCAACTTTTAAGGACACGTTTGGGAGTGTTACATATATATAAATACATATATATATATATATATATAAGTACGTCTAAACAAGTGACAACTGCATTCATTGGAGCACCAGTGAAGATGATACACGGCTGAAAACACATATTATATTCATAATTACTCTAAATATCAGCACAACAATGTTAAATCTGTAAATTTGCGGAGGCAAATGTTTGTTCTTCCCTCGCCGGGTTTCGAACTCATGCTATTGGGATATCGAACTGAACTAGACTGAACTAAAAATTCAGCTTTCGGTGGCCTAGTGCTACCTTTCCTCGTCATTAGAATCTAGAGTTGTAACAAAGTACATGATATATCAAGAGTTCTAAATGGAAAAGTTGAAATCGTCCCTTCGTAAATTTTACGGACTCCATCACGAGTTGGTTGACCGTTATGGAATAACCGTTTCACAGACAATATCGGATATGTTCCTTATGTCGTAACTATAATACTCTTCCGTTTTCACGAATGTGACCTACCGAATTAGACTATTTACCGGATTTGTAATAACATAAGCAACACAAAGGGTGCCACATGTGGAGCAGGATCTGCTTACCCTTACGGAGCACCTGAGATCACTCCCTGTTTTTGGTGGGGTTCGTGTTGCTTAGTCTTTAGTATTCTATGTTGTGTCATCTGTACTATTATTTGTCTGTTTGTCTTTTTATTTTGGCCATGGCGTTGTCAGTTTGTTTTCGATCTATGAGTTTGACTGTCTCTCTGGTATCTTTCGTCCCTCTTTTAGGCATGAAGATGGAATTGATTGCAGATTGGATCACCAGTGAAGGTGATACACGACTGAAAAGTCATATTATATTCATAATTACTCTAAATATCAGCACAACAATGTTAAATCTGCAAATTTGCGGAAGCATATTTGTTCTTCCATCTCCGGGATTCAAACTTATGCTATTGGGATATCGTCACAACACCGCCTGCACTGTGTCCAACGCTCTAGGCATATATATATATATATATATATATATATATATATATATATATATATATTGTTTTAATCTTACTTACTAGTACTATTGCATTAGATTATATCATAATACACCATTGTTGTATATTCTACAGTTATGTATGGGGATACCAATGGTTAGTGAAGAGTCAGATAATGGATGTTTTGAGTTCGTTGAATGTCCTCCAGGTAAGTCCTTTGCCTTTAATAGTGCGGTTGATGCATTAATGTTGATTCCTTTATTTTCATGCGTATCAACTTCCGTGAATTAAGAAATAATTGTATGGTTTTACAAAAGTCTGCAAACAAGCCTATAGAAAATTTGTTTTTCGTTGAAAATATAAATTCGTGTTTCACCTGTACCCACGAGAATAGGTATCCCATCAATAATAATGCATGCACAGTACTGTCTTTATATATAGTTGTCTAATTAGCACTAAAACCACGTCTCCTTATTTTCATATGAATGCGTTCGCATAAAAAAATGGACGATTTCGAAATAGATTGAGAAGAAGGCTGCTGGAATTTCGACTTGGATATGAGGGTATGTTCGATGGGAACAATACTTCCCCCTGAAACTAACTGACCAACTACGGAGCACTCAAAGAGTTGTTGCACATTTTTTGTTTGTTACGTGAAGACAGAATGGCAGGCATTTGATTTAACGTCACAAATCCCTCATAGTCAAACGGACGCCTTTCTTGTAGAATAGGATGAATACATCTCTTCCTCAATCATTCCTACGGGTTTTCAGGTAAAGAAATAAAACGAATCAATGATTCAGATAGCGAATCAAGATGTAAAATAAATGATTGCACGTACAAAAATTGAAACATATGTGCATAACAAAAATCAATAGAAAACGCATACTGTCAGAATTTTGATAGAATTGCTTTGAAAGGAAGAAACATAAATGTGACATTGAAAAAAGGATTTATTATATATAGTAAAGATCGAATTATTTCAAAATGTGGTTTTTCCTTAGAATGAGAGTCATTACCGAACAATTATACGAAGAAAATCCAAGACAACAGTGTTTATTGCAAAAATAAAACTGATATTATATCACTTACAGGTGTTAAAAAACGATATAATAAACCCCATAGACCGTACGTGAACACTCATTTTTCGTATATCATTAAAAGAAATCCACTCTTCAACCCGTTATAAAGGGTTGATAACCGAGTACATGTATATATTAATGTATACATGTCTGATAAATCTTTAATATATACATATATACGTTACAGGCATTTCCTTTATATAGGCCTTTTGTAAAATGACTGAATTTTCAGGTAATTAGTAAAATGCCTCACTTGCCAGCGATTAAATAAAATGACTAAAATACCAAGTCATTTTGTAAAATGATTGAAATTTAGTTGTTAAAATTCATGCTGTTGAAATCATTAATTATCATAGAATACACTGTTCTGTTGTTTGATACTTTCAGAGGCTTATTTTGTGTACATTCATTATATGTAATAATTATCGGTATTTTGTTAAATGCGTGATAAAATTAGTCACTTTACAAAATACCGACATCTCACAGGCGTTTTACAAATGCCTAAATTTAGAAAATGCTTAAATTTAGAAAATGCCTATAAGATATATATAATTGGTTTAAATCTATCTGTTGGTGAAATAAGTCACTATTTTGCATGTTGCATGCATGAGTTTCTAACGAACATCGACACTAACAGAATAAGAGTATTCGTACAGGCACGTATTTTAATACATTAAAATATAATATTTACATATTTGCAGGCGAAGAAGTCAAAACCTGTCGAGAATCCAATGCTTTTAACTGTACGAGGTGTTTACCTGGATATGTACAACCAAACTATGTAACATCAAACCAACATGATAACACATGCTTCAAGCCTCAAAGTGATTGTGTTGCTGAAGGTGAGACATTTCTGCCAACGAAAACTCGATATTTTGAAAACCGTACTTACATTGCAGGGGAATGAATATTGGACGAATATAGAACAAAAGATAATGCAACCCGTGACAAATGACAAACATGATATCTTGAAGGTGCAGTTTAGGTTTTGGCATTTGAAATAAAAAAATTGTTAGAATGAACACTTGAACTGTTACTTGGTATACTAAACTAAAAAGAAAAGGTGAAAAAGGTGAAAAATTACCAAATAGAAACAACATGTGAACATTTGAAGTTTCAACTATGTCATTAGTAGGGCTAGAAGGTTTCATTATTCTGTAGCAACTTGGTTCACTCCGGGTTCGCTGGGATTTAAATTTAGTATTGATCAATCTTTGGCTTTCTGTGTAGTATTTTGTGCATTCTTATCGATTTTTTCTCATTAGTCTTTAGTTGATGGCTTTTATTGCCACATTCGACTGTTTTATACACCATGCATTTTGTGAATATAAATCATCAATTAAGTATTTATCTAATTGCGTAGGTAGAATTGCCTGTTACACTACACAAGCGAAGTAGTGGAAATTGAAATCTCAAGCTTTAAGTGGACAAGGTAAGGGAGAATGGATAAGACTACTTAATCTAGCAAAGATCTGAAATTATAATTCATTAATCTGTAACATAAATGTATATTTTTCATATGGAAGATGTAACATACAGTCGAACAGAACATAAAACATTCTGTGACAGTCTAGATGGATGCAAATGTAACACCAACAAATGTTACTATGGAGACCCTTGTTTATGTGATCAACATACTCCAGGATGTCCAGTTAATAAATCACTTGATGAGAATGGAGGTAATATGAAAAAGTCTTAAGTGCCAGTCTTTGTAAGAATCAGGCAATTTAAAAAAAAAATAAAAACATGGCCGAAAAAAACCCACCGACCTAACCATCCTATTTTGAAGTAACCCTCATCCTGAGTTAGAAATGGAAGGTCTTTCGTTTCTGCGTGTCTGGTGATTCGAGAAATCTCTAGATAAATTTTGGTTAGGATGATAGCAAATTACGGAGTTAGCTCCCCTTAATTTTTCATTTCTAGTGCATTTCAACCAAATTATATCTTGAATTACCAGAACAGGACAAGGAAACGAATGTTATATTCATGCACCATTATACATTTTGAACAAAAATTAATGTCAACCTGAGTGGGTTTTTGTTTGTCATGTTTTCACCACTGCCTGATTCTTAGGCAGATTGGCACTTAAATCATCAAAGCTGACATTATATCTATATTTTTTTTTATCCTTAATCATTATGATTTATTTTAAAAGTTTACATTTATATCATTTTCACAAATATATAAACGAGTCACTGTTAAAAAGTCTGTTTGCATTTTAGTATGTCAACCATGTGATACTGGGACAGCAAAGAATGATACAGGATGTGGACCTTGCAGATCTGTTTCACAGTAAGTTACTTAGAATAAAGATACAATGTATGCGCTTTAAACTTATATTAGCTCAAACACACACATTTACTTACAGCGGCTAATAATAAAATCACCGTATTTAATAACAAACTTGAGAAGTCGGTGTTTATGCATCCGTTTCCAATCGTATTTTTTCATCTAAGCCGATTATGAAACCTGTAGTATTGTAACTTTCATTCATTCATAAATATTTATATAGTTCAAGAGTTCACGCACGTGTTGTGTCGATAGACATAGCAGATAAGGGCGCGTCGTATTGCAAAATATGTATTTGTGTTGATTAGTTAGCTCTAGCATTATATTAAAGTATGTTAACCAGTACTCATGGCTTTTCTCTTAGTTAATATATATAGGCTACCAACGTTACATTGGCGACGAGGATAAAAAAAGAAGTTGGAAATGTTAAAAATGTATTTTTATGGATTTATTAATTAGTGACACTAATAATTAAACCATGGCTGCATCTTTACCAATTTTTCTGAGTTTTCCAATACATGAGAACAATGCTGAAATAAGGTGGCGTAAATGGATAAGTAGACTAGAAAATTTATTCATTGGTTTGAACATGAAGGACAGCAAACGACAAAGAGCACTCTTGTTGCATTACGCTGGAGAAGATGTAAACGAAGTCTTTGATACCCTTGACAATACAGGAGAAGACTTTGCTACCGCTAAACACAAGTTAACAGCTTACTTTGCTCCGAAGAGGAATACAGAATACGAAATTTACAAATTTAGGCAAGCCAAACAGACATCTGATGAAACTATCGAAAGTTTTCACACGAGATTACGCCAACTAGCTGTAAACTGTGAATTTACTGAAACATCTAAAGAAGTGAAATCGCAAATAATCCAAGGTTGTCATTCAACGAGACTAAGACGAAAGGCTCTCCGGGAAGACACGACCCTTGAAGGATTAATTTCATCAGCTAGAGCGTTAGAACTTTCCGAAAAACAGGCAACGGAAATTGAACAATCAGAAAAACAATCCGCAAATGCTGTGAGAAAAGGACTCCGAGGTGGAAAACGTCGCAGCGGACCACGACTTCTACAGACACAAACTAACCAAAAGGTAAAGAAAAAGACTACTTGTAGAAACTGTGGAGGTGAATTTCCGCATGCAAACAAGTGTCCAGCATTTGGAAAAAAATGTAACTCTTGTAAATAGATGAATCATTTTGCCGCCGTTTGCAGATCGAAACGTGAGGGAACTAACACTTGCAAAAGTAAAGTCAATAAAGTTGACAATTATGAATATGATGATGCTCATGACAGCAGTTCGGATGATGGATACATATTAGGATTGAGAGAAAATACTGTGAACAAAGTACAGAAAGGACAACCGAAAATCAATAATTCTAATGTGGATATTTTAATCGACACAGGATCCAGTATTAATGTTATTGATGAAAGCACATTCGAGAACATCAAGTGTAAACAAAAACTTTCTCACGCCTACACCAGAGTCTACGCATATGGATCAGATAAAAACTTGAAGTTGATGGGAACATTTCATGTTACGATAGAGACTGACCATAAAATAACAACCGCACCGGTGTATGTGATGAAAGGAAGATATGGGAATTTATTGTGCTATGATACATCTGTTGACTTAAGCATAGTGCCAACCATTTCTTCAGTAGCAAATAAACATGAAATATTATGCAATGAATATAGCGATGTGTTCAATGGAATCGGTAAATTAAAAGATTAAAAAGTGAAAATTCATATTGATGAAAGTGTAAAACCGGTTATACAACCGCATAGGCGTATTCCGTTTCATATACGTAAGCAAGTGGAAGCAGACCTCAAGAAACTCGAAAAGCAAGATATAATTGAAAAGGTGGATGGACCAACACCTTGGGTGTTCCCGATAGTTGTGGCCCCTAAACCGAAAAACAAGAACGAAACTCGATTATGCGTGGATTTGGTGGAACCGAACAAGGCTATTTTACGTTCACGACATATTACACCAACGCTTGATGACATGATTGTGGATTTAAACGGATCTAATTCTCGAAAATGGACCTTCGAAGTGGATATCATCAATTGGAGTTAAACGAGGAATCCCGGAACATCACAACCTTCACGACACACGTAGGATTACGTAGATACAAACGACTCAGTTTTGGTGTTTCGTCAGCCGCAGAGTTATTCCAAAACACACTTAGTAATGCACTGGAAGGATTAGATGGAGTCCGAAATATATATCCGATGATAATATCGTATTTGGAAGGAACCAGGACGAACATGATAAACGATTGGAAAAGCTATTTGCACGTCTTAAAGAGAAGAACTTTACATTGAATAAGGCAAAATGTGAATTTACCAAGAATAAACTTGAATTCTATTGTCACATTTTAATGCAGATGGAATATCAGCCGATCCAAGGAAAATAAGCGATATCAAGAACACTGCAATACCGAAAGACGTAGGTGAAATCCTTAGTTTCCTAGCAATGACAAATTATGTTGGACGTTTCATTCCAAATTATTCAACTATTACTGAACCGCTCCACAGATTAACAAAGCAGGATTCCAAGTGGGAATGGACATCTGAACAACAGCAATCATTTGACAAGCTAAAGAATGAACTTGTTGCTGACCGTGTGATGTCGTACTTTGACCCTAACGAAGAAACAATGTTGATAGTAGATGCAAGTCCCGTTGGATTAGCTGGATTATTAACATAAAATGGGAAAATAATCGCATATGCAAGCCATCTTTAACAGATGTTGAAACACGCTATTCGCAAACAGAAAAGGAAGCATTGGCAATTGTATGGGCATTTGAACATTTTCACCTTTATTTGTACGGACAGTCTTTTACATTGGTATCCGATCACCAACCGCTTGAAACTATTTTCAATAGTCCGAAGGCAAAAACACCAGCACGCATTGAACGATGGAGATCAAGATTACAGGGGTATAATTCAAAGTACAGTACAAACCAGGAAAGGTGAACGCGGCCGATTATTTATCAAGACATCCGACCCCGACTACATCTATTGCATGTAAACATTCTCAGCTAGCAGAAGAATATGTCCGATACTTAACTGACAATGCTGTGCCGAAGGCAATGACCCTTGTTGATATAGCTGATAGTACATAAAAGGACAGTGACCTACAAACCGTAAATACTGCATTAAAATTAAACAGGTGGGACAAGCATGAAAGCACTACGCTAGATACATTCCCAAGATTACGATATGAATTAAAAGTAGTTCCCGTTAATGATAGTGAGATCATTCTTCATGATAATAGAATCGTTATTCCGAAAGATTTACAGATGCGTTTAATCGACCTTGCACACGAAGGGCACCAGGGCATAGTACGTACAAAACAGTTGTTACGTGAAAAGGTATACTTTCCTGGAATAGACAAACTTGTTGAACAAACTTGTAAATCATGTATACCATGTTTAGCGTCAACTCCGAAAAATGTTTTTGAACCGTTACAAATGTCCGAGATACCGAATAATTTATGGGAGAATCTCAGCATGGACTTTTGTGGACCGTTTCCCATTAAATATTACGTAATGGTAGTAATAGATGAATACTCAAGGTATCCTGTTATAGAAACCCTAACAAGAATTACCGCAAAATCCGTCATACCACTACTTGATAAAACTTTCTCAATTTTTGGAATACCAAAGGAACTGAAAACAGACAACGGACCTCCGTTTAATTCACAAGAATTCCGAAATTTCGCAGATAACATGGGTTTTAAGTACCGCAAAATCACTCCGTTATGGCCCAGCGCTTACGCTGACAGTGAACGATTTATGAGAACAATAGAGAAAGCAATTCGTGCAGCTCAAACGGAACATCGTAGCTGGAAGCAAGTAATACACACATTTCTTCGTAACTATAGAGCAACACCACACGCAACAACGAACGTGTCACCGGCAGAACTTTTATTTGGAAGGAAAATTAATACTAAAATGCCGAACATTTCAATGAATGATCAAGCCGAGAGTGAAGTACGAAAAGAAGATCACAGAAACAAAAGTAAAATGAAGTCATATTTCGAGAAAAAGCATTCAGTTAAAGTATCTGATTTTACAGTAGGAGATACCATCCTAGTTAAACAAGAAAAGAAAGATAAACTGACGACCACGTATAATCCTCAACCATTAACAATCAAGAATAAAAAGGGTAGTATGATTACGGCAACGAACGAACAACATAAAGATATAACTCGAAATTCGTCACACTTCAGAAGGGTTGGAAATCTAAAATAATGATTGATGAGGAAATAGAAGAAATTATTGATGATGACATTATACCAAACACACCATTGAGAAGATCATCTCGAGAAAAACAAACACCGAAACATCTCGATGATTATGTGCGTTAAAGAGCTGTGTTACAGGCATAATAATCATGTGCTCTTTCTGATGTATCAATTAGGTTTGAAGTTGATCTATATGTTTGTGAATTTATGATACAAATCAGTTTGTGGAATTTACTATTCACACTCGTCATGATAGCCTTATCAGATGATCCACTAATTATATTGACATTATCGTACGCGTACCGAATAATTTACATTTATCACAGACTATAAAGTTCTAATTTTCTATTGATATCATTTTACGCATCTTATCACTTTATTTGTTTACACAGACAGTTAAAGATTTTATGACTACACAGGCAGTAATATAAGTAATTAAAGTAGAACTTTAATCTGAGAAAGGAAGAGATGTAGTATTGTAACTTTCATTCATTCATAAATATTTATATAGTTCAAGAGTTCACGGACGTGTTGTGTTGATAGACATAGCAGATAAGGGCGCGTTGTATTGCACACAGGCACTTGTCTCAGAATTTTTTTATATACCTTGTGTTATATCAAGGTATATAGGGGAAAAAAAATTTCTGAGACAAGTGCCTGTGGTATTGCAATATGAATTTGTGTTGATTAGTTAGCTCTAGCATTATATTAAAGTATGTTAACCAGTATACATGGCTTGTCTCTTAGTTAATATATATATAGGCTACCAACGTTACAAAACCGTTCATACGATGATTCTTCTTTCCCGGTATTTATTGATCCGCTGGTTCTTACAAAGTATGGACTGTGTATGTTTGTTTAGAGATAATGGCCTTAGGAGCATACATTAAACTGTTATTTACCAAGATGAGTTGTGAAATTATATTTGCACAATATTTTGCTCATAAAATAAAAAAAAAGTCTTGTAAGAATGATCTTCTTAATTTTTCGGGTAAAGACGTTTATCAATTATTTCAGGAATTTTATGCAATTACTTTTCGGATATCTTGATTCCTATTGAATTCATTAATTGGTTTAGGTTAAACTAAAACAAAACCTGAAGCTTGTTCAAATTTATTTTCTGAATCTATTTCAGTAAAAAGCTGGTTTATTGTTATTTATAAAATAAAGTTTAAAATTGTTTTCAGATGAAATTAAAAAGAATGTAATACCTTAGCTGTAGTTGGCAAAACATTTCGACATTTTTGGCCCTCACAGATCTTTAACTTCGTACTTTTTTGGGCCTTTTAATTATATGATTCGAGCGTTTTTGATGAATCTTCTGAAAACGAAACACGTTCAAAATTATAAGCCTGGTATCTTTGATGTTTGTTTTATATCTTTAAAACGTTGAAGGGTAATTATTTTGAGTGGTTTTAATCTGTATTGAGGATGCAAATGCCAGTTTCATGCAATTTGTTTTATAATTCCAGGAAACTTCATAGTTTATCTGAAAATGTTATAGCAATGATACACAAAAAGCGACCATTGATGCCAACAATGGAAACCATAACAAGTAATTTGACACTTTTAGAATAAACTTAAATCTGTTTGATGCATAGCGGAGTGCAAACATTCAGATAATATTAAAACCAAGGCATTTTCTGCTAACTGACTTTTTTAAACAAATTTAGCTATTAAGACTTTTGTTGCGGAAACTGTGCCGATTTCCTTTCTTACCAATTGAAATGCTGACTCATCTGATTACTACAAACTCAACATAAAACATGTCACCAGTGAAGTAGAAAATACTGACTCATCGGATTACTGCAAACGTAACATAAAAAATGTAACCAGTTAAGTAGAAAATGCTGACCCGTCCGGGATACTGAGTCCCATCCAGGATTTTGATTTGACTAGTTTTGTCAAATTTTAAGTTTTCTGTTAATGTTTTTAGCGAAAATTTTGTTAGTCGCTTCATCTTTATTCTCTTTGTCACGATACTGTCCGTCTTTTGTCGACCCTGAGTTGTTTAATGATCTTTCCAAATTTTCTCATTTATCTACTTTAAATTCCTTCCCATGTATTGCATAAAGAAAACGCTGTGGAGATTTGTTTCAGACCGATAAATTCAAATAAACATGTTTCATTTTGAGACATTAAAAGAATAATTGTTATATAAATTTTCTATAGTTTGGCTATTGCATATATACGTTTTAAAAAGTTGCATTAATTATTTGTCAAATGCAGTTTACATCAAAATCTGTTAGTTATAAGCTTGTTGGCCTCATTTATTCACATGTTTTTGATGTATTTGTAGATTCAATGAAAGAAGGTAAAAGTGATACAACCTCAAGATCAAATCCCATTTGTATGGAACGCACGTTTATGACTATGTAAGTGCTAAACAATGTAAATGCACGGAACTAATGCATGGGTGCAGCAGGAAAATTGTAAGGAATTAAGTAAAGACTGTATGACGAATAAAGCAATATTACTGAATAAGTTATTTCATAGATGTTAAAAATTATATCAAACTCTAGATTTTGGAAATAAACCTTGCGACTAACATTTTAAATTAATTTGAACTTTTCTATAGATTTTTCTGATTTTTAAATAGTACTTTAACAACTTATTAACTGCATTTGTTTCGACTACTTATCATTTTATTGATGCGTACACATTTTGACTACACATAGTAATGCCTGTCATCACTATATAAGAGTGAGTATAAGAATTCAATGTTATAAATAGTCTGCAAAAAGAAAATCGCCGACATTTCTAGGTGGATAAAATGAAATGCTTCGAATACAAGGCGGAATAAGATTTTTAAACTATGAATTGAACTGAATTTAAGTGATGTTATTAGTCATCATGAAATTTCTTTTCATTCTTGTATCGTCTCCCAACTAACTTCGGTAATATGCGTAAGACAAATGGTAACTATGAAGCAATGATTGCACCTTTGAGTTGAAGTTTGCAATTTTTAAAAAAAGTTTACTTTCCTGCACCTATTTGAAACCTTAAATGCATATTTTAAAAGTAACCTTTAAATACAAGAAACATATTTTCAAAAATTTAATTTCAACAAATTCAATAGTTTCCTTTTCGTAAAAGGTTTATGCGTTTTCTTGCATTCGATATAATAAAAGCTATACGAGTGTTCCATTTACAATTACTACCAAATGTATGACTTAAATGTTGATCATGTTTATTTGACAATAATTCTTATATAATTTGATAATCACTTGAATGTGAATAGTCCGCTAAAATTGTTTTCTTCGGTTTACTCTTCGAAAGAACATGTTTCCGAAATTACTTTTGTAACCTATGTAAACACCATGTCAGTTGTACTGTGAAATATTCATGCGCGATACTCATGACTAGAATTGTTGGGTTCAAAACTAAAGTTGAAAATGAAATAAAACATTATATATGTATGGGTTGAGAATTTAATGGATTGATTTAATGACGATTTTCACCTATTGTTTGCGTTTTTGTCCATTATCGTGAAAACTGGAATAGATAAGCAGAAAGTTTTTTAATAGCAAACACGATCAAGAAGACAAGATATAGAAATAAGTCAACATAACCGAAGTTATCAGTTGATCTTTGTTTAGAGTTATTGGTCTTTAATGACGTTTTTACCAATTGTTTACGTTTTTGCCGTTATCTTCGTAACTATAAAAGAAAGATAGCAACTTTTAAAAGCAAAAATGATTATCAAGACAAGATCTACAAAAAATTTGCTGAAATTATCATTCAATTGTTTATAGGAGATGTCGCTCTTAAATGACAATTTTTACTTATTTCTTACTTTCATGACTATTATCTTTATAACTATAAAATAAAGATAGCAACAATCGAAAGCAAAAATGATCAGCAAGACAAGATCTTCAAATAGGTCAGTATAGATAAAATTGTCAGTACAGGTTTTGTTTTTTATCTGGATGATTTTTGCTCAAATTTTATTGAGTTGATACCACTGTTTGTTGACACTTAGTTCCCGAGGGTTTATAAATTCATAAATGATTAAGAAACTATGGTTTCAACTCCCTCAGTCAAAGTTGACCTTAGTTAGTTTGGCTAATTCTGTTATGTGCTTTATAGTCATATAGCTCTTCAACTGTTCCTGTTCCTATATATCCTTGGTTTTCAAATATTCGGCTTTGAGCGTTACGAATGAAGATAAATCCAGAAAAGAGCTTCAGATGCTTGAAATTTAAAACGTGTTATTTTCATTTTTTTGAAATCTACTTTCACTTATCGTGTTATATTATGTTTTAGCTTTATAGCCCATATTTTACTATTCTAGGTTACTGTTTCAACGCGTGCTTGCAGTTATACATCTATTTAATTATTTTAGTACCCATACTATTATATTTTCTTTTAGAGCTATAGGTTTACCATTTCTGGAGCTGTTGTTAGTTATAGTAATCATCGTTTTGTGTTGGCGATGGAAAAAATGTTGCTTTGCTCAAGGTTCGTATCATTTATAAATTTTGCAAGATTTATATAGTAAATGTTTTGAAGACTAAAACATTGAAGGAAGAGCAACCAGAATAGCCATGTAGTCTCTTGGAAATGATGATGCTCCCCTCTTATAACTAAATGTAACGAATGGTAATGCACCATACACGCGTTTTTCATTTTGTTATAAAAGATATTCTATGAAAGCCGTAAGTTTGACCAAATACCACATAACCTTTGTCTTAAATTTTGAATGCCTCCAAACATTCGCATATGCGCAAGTACTAACCAAATTACAGAGGTAAATTAGAAAAAAGGGGACGTCCATAAAACCTGAAAAACCAAACACTTGACTATATTAACAGATCAAAGGAGATCTTGGTTAAAATATCTAGAACTCAAGGCACTATCGTCAATAATAGGCAAGTACAACCTCATATCGCCTTATCGGATTAAGTATATACTTAAAGTATGCTAGATATACTTACTGGAAATGTGAGGATATGATTAAAGCTTTAAATTTTCTCCTAGATAACATACATGTACGTTTCGGCGATAAAGTGTATCGTCAGGTAGTAGGTATTGCTATGGGCACTAACTGCGCCCCTTTAATAGCAGATTTATTCCTGTATTGCTATGAATCTCAGTTTATGACCAAACTCAGTAGAGACACATCATTGGTACATTTGGTTGATACATTTAACAATACCTACCGTTATCTGGATGATATTTTTTCGTTAAATAATCCAGAGTTCTCTAAATATACTACCGAAATTTACCCAAAAGAACTTACTTTAACTAAATCTAACATAAACAGCAGCAGTTGTCCTTTTCTAGATTTAGACATTTCAATTTCTAAAGGGAAACTCCATACTAAAATTTACGACAAACGAGACGATTTTTCATTCCCTATTGTTAATTTTCCTTTTATAGACGGCGATGTGCCTTTGGCTCCATCATACGGTGTTTATATATGCCAACTCGTTCGGTATGCCCGTGTGTGTAGTGATGTCATAGATTTTAACGAACGTAATCAATGCATCACTGGTAAATTATTAAGTCAGGGATTTCGTTACCATAAATTACTTAAAACTTTTACTAAATTCTTTCAAAGATACAAAGATTTGATTAGTAAATTTGGCTGTACCTGTAGAAAACTGATTAAAAACGGTATTTCACATCCTAAATTTTATGGTAATATTGTACTTAAAGCGCGGAAATCATTATGTGATCCGTGTAAACTCCTCGAACCTTTAAACAAACTTATAAGTCAGGGTTATCGTACCAATGTTGTAATTAGATCTCTGAATATAGTTTACATTGGCACTATATATTGATTTTGTCATAAGCAAATTAAAACATAACTAAATTTGTATTTTCTTTTCAAACGGGATGTATAGAGACACACACACGTTCATTTTTATCTATAAAGAAGTCACTCCTAACTATCCTACTACCTGTCGATACATTTATTTTTGGCATTGCACAAGTCATGTCTTCTTTGACTGTTCATGACGTTAAAATACTAAATCCCTGGGATGTATTTTGGTTGATTTTAGTCTCTGATGCATGATTTTTTATTATTAATTGTTTTGGCTTTTAACTAGCTGTCAGTAACTGCGAGTACTCTCAAATCGTACTTTCTTTTTATTTTGACATGTTGATACTATTTGTAATGCTTTTTTATCATTTAATGTTAACATGGATCTTGTCTATATACCAGCTTTGATTATTTGGTATTTAATTTACTACAAATTTTCACTTCTTCGTACTATGAACATCAAAATTATTTCATTTTTCCTTAGATGCTGTTCTTGGACCTGTACAGGAAGTTTTATCTAGCACTAATTGTATAGTTTTATTGTTGATATTCACCCCATATGTACCAAGTGTTAGATTAGTTTTATTGATATTAAAGAAATTTCTTGGTATTCCTAAACGGAAGATTTTATACACACAGAAGAAGAAGTACACTTAACAACAAAATTATTTTCATTTACCTGTGTATAATATGACGCAGGTTTCTTCAAAAGTGATGATTTTCTAAAAATTGTTTGTTATTTCACAATGATATCATACTTTAACTTTGTTTAAACCTGTTTATTAACTTTTGACTTTAATTATTTATCCTTTGTAATTTTTTATCAACTGTGTATTTGCATTCAGGTGTCACAGGTCAAATTTATTCGTTCATTGTGTGTTAATTTACGTTTTTTGATTGAGTTAAGCCTTCCAATTGATATTTTATAGTGTGTTTTTCTATGTTGTGATCTTATACTATTGTTTCAGAAAAGGGAGAAGGTTTGGTACCATTAAAACGTTTAATCCCGCTGCAAATATTTGCACCTGTCCTAAGTCAGGAATCTGATTACAGTAGTTGTCGTCTGTTTATGTAGTTCATACGTGTTTCTCGTTTCTCGTTTTTATATAGATTAGACCGTTAGTTTTTCCGTTTGAATGGTTTTACACTAGTAATTTTTGGGGCCCTTTATAGCTTGCTGTTCGGTGTGAGCCAATGCTCCGTGTTGAAGGCCGTACCTTGACCTATAATGGTTTACTTTTATAAATTGTAACTTGGATGGAGAGTTGTCTCATTGGCACTCATACCACATCTTCCTATATCTATTTACAATTTTAGCTATCAAAAATCGGTCAAATAGAGCTTTTTATGTATTTCAGGTAATAGACGCAGTGAACTAAGTTCAGGAGCAAACGGAGGGGAAACCGCATATATGATGAATTAAGAAACTTGCATTTACTTAATTGGACACAATCCTAATGTTTGAAACACTTATGACGCTTGTTTTTGGATAAAAGGAAGTTTCAGATTGTATCGCACTGTTGTTTCTATGTAGACGTGAAGATTTATTCATCTTATAAAACTTATCTAAAATGAAATAATAATATAAGTACAGTTTTGGATAAAAGATGATGAAATGGTCGACAAAAAAACAATCAAGGTTAGCAAACGGTCACATCCTTAGCTTGGCAGTGTTCTGTCAACATTTTACATAGGAGAAATGCATTTTTCTCATTTCTGTGTTGACATGAATTATCATTGATATGGTAATATTCATAAATTAACTGTTTAAAAAACTTGCTTTTAAAATGCTAAGAATTTCCTACCCCAGGAATAGATTACTATAGCTGTATTTGGCAAAACTTCGGTTCTTTTGAAATTTTACTTTATTTAGCCTTTTTCACTTTTTTTATGAAAGTGCCAATCATGAATCTCTTGTACACGAAACGCACGTCTGGCATACAAAATTAAAATCCTGGTACCTATAATGAGTTTATTGACGGATAGTTATGCATACAATCCTGTGTAACTGAGTGAAATTATTTTTAGCTCTAAAAGACAAATAAGTTTGCGTTATAAAAATCGAAACAAAATATATGATCAATAACTTTTGATATCACCAATATTTAAAACATTAACTGCCACATTAAACATATATATTGAGGAGCATATTCATTAAGAATCATCCCGCAAAGCAGTTGTATTATACCAGTATTGTAGGCAGCACTATTGTAAACACACCCTGAATTAATTCAGTGCCGTTTCAAAGATACATATAACTGTTACTAGAAGAATTTTGTACCATATATCCACAGAACATGAAGTAATACCGTCCTACACCTTTGTATTGGAGCTGGTGCTTGTAGTAGCATTCATAAAAATTGCATGAACAATGCTTTCTGTTTTTATACAAGCTTTAAAATAACTTTTTGACTTATTGATTCTTTGAATAAACTGATACCTATAGCTTATCAATCTATATCCGTAGTAAATTCTTTTAATTCGTTTTTTATTTTAACGGTACTAACATTGTTTTTGTTTCTGATAAATTAAAACATAACAAAAATGTATGGCTATACAGTTATGATACTTCATATTGTCCATACCATAACTTATACTTTGGCGTTGCACAAGGTCTTTCTTTTCTCATAGTTTTATGACGTTTTTACTCTTAGTCCGTTTGATACCCTGCTACTGTTCTTATATTATGCTGATACACCACTGTTCTAAGTTAGTTGGATGGTTCAGCGCTCACAAACATATTACATATTCAAACCCAATATATTCGTTATGTGCATTAGTTTAAGTCAGGAGTTTGTGATTCAGTGGTTGTGGTTGGTTCATGTTTGTCATATTTGATTTTCGTTAATTGTTTTGTTACAAATATATGGCGTTGGTTTTTCTCGTTTTAATTGATTCACATTTTTCATGTCGAACCCTTTTAAAGTTCTCAATATGACATGGGTTTTGCTAATTGTTGAAAGCCATACAGTGACATATATTGCTTGCAACCACGTCATTTGAACCCTAGTCTACAGCTGACACATTGGCAATGATACCCAATCACCAGGTTATATATTGTACAGAAATAATATAATGAGTAATATGTAACAAATAAAAGAAACTTTTTTGTTTACTTAAGTTGTTTATCAACCAACCTATATTTAAGAAGAACCTCCTTGTTATCATTATACATAGAATTACATAAAAATCTTTGTGTGAATTAATACATTAATCAGGATAGTTAGCTGTTGTAAATATTAGCATTATCACCCCAAACGATTGAATATTTATGTTTTTCAGCCAGGGTGACAACATAATCGACAACACATATCCCCTTTTATTCGAATGTTATTAAAAGTATATAATTATTGAGCACATATCGATATAACAGCAATCCATCATTAAGAAATAAAGTAATATTACTAGTAGTTGCATAGTGTGCTATTGACCTAATACGATATATATGGGGTCAGTAAATTCCATATGCGGTGAGAGCGGAGCTAGAATCCCCATAAGGAATTTACTGACCCCATTTATATAGTATTTGGTCACTAGCACACTGTGTAACGAATTTATCTTACCGACTATCTTAACATGTGGTATTTACTAGTGGCCTATCAAAGCGATAAAGTCATTAATTTTAAGAACCTACTTCGATTGGTCTATACATGAATTTATTTCAATCGTTCATCGTCAATTTCTTCGTCTGTTGAAACCTATCAGAGTATTTCTAAACCCCGTGTTGTTTTTACCAAAAAACACCACTAACTAACCGTGTATTGAAATAAACCACGCCAACTAACCCCATATGAAATATACACGGTCTCCACACGAATGCTTTTAACCAATCATATTCCTAGAAGTGTATAGGAGGTAGGATAATATTAGTTACATGGTGTGTTAGTGACCTAATACGATGTATATGGGGTCAGTAAATTCCATATGGGGTGAGGGCGAAGCTCGAATGTGACCTAATACGATGTATATGGGGTCAGTAAATTCCATATGAGGTGAGAGCGAAGCTCGAATCCCCATATGGAATTTACTGACCCCATATATATCGTATTAGGTCACTAGCACACCGTGTAACGAATTTATCTTACCGACTATCTTCACATGTGGTATTAAGACTAGCGGCCTATCAAAGTGATTATAAGTCTTCAATACTTAGTATTTAGAACCTACTTCCATTTGTCTATACAAAAACAAATGCCAACAATAACAACTTGTTACCTTTAAATGTGTTTTATGAATTTATTTCAGTCGTTTATCATCAATTTCTTCGTCTGTTGAAAACTTTCAGATTTTTTCCTCAACACCGTGTTGTTTTTATAAAGGGACGTAACACCACTACTAACCGTGTATTGAAATAAGCCCCGCCTTCTAACCTAATATAAAATATACACGGTCTCCACGCGGTTGCTTTTAACCAATCAAATTCCTAAAAATAGATATAGGACGATCTGGTATGAGTGTCAATGAGACAACTCTCCATCCAAGTAACAATTTATAAAAGTAAACCATTATAGGTCAAGGTACGGCCTTCAACACGGAGCATTGACTCACACCGAACAGCAAGCTTTAAAATGTATAGGAAGTAAGATAAACCTACATATATATATGATAAACCCATAACATCTGGAAGGTATTGAGAAATGTGTATGAATGTATATGAATGTAAATGTTTATATGTAAAAATAGAAAGCACAAAAAAGAAGTTAAGTATGTTACATTGTTACCTTGTTGTTATGCATATGTTATTGATATTAATGTCAGTTGAAATATTATAAGCTCAGATTTATACGAATAAAATATTCCGAGATATTCGGAATCAGTCTTGCTATTATATGATTTTCTAATACAAAAGTAAAATTTAGATACTACCAATCTAATTTGCTATCAAGATTGCGATCCGTAGACATTGTCAACCAAATGTTTGTACAACATAAGGCTAGTCAATGAGTCTCGTACACTGCATCGATCATTACAAAATGTTTTGGTTATTTTTGTCATTGAGTAACAGTCTCAAGAAAGTCATAGTTAACTCTTAATTGATATATTGCAATAAAACATATATATATAGGTCAAAATACATTTTCTAAGATAAATGTTGTAGTATCCATTGAAATATATATATTGGATATCTTTTAAAACTTTTTTGGCATTATCTTATTGGCAGTATCTTATTCAAACGAATCTTGGCATTTTGTATTTTATCCCACCTTCACATATTGTACCATGTGATACAAAAAAAAAATAACAATTATGTATTGAGTGATCAAAAAGAAGTATGATTGTATTTTATTGTTTACCAAAGTAGAACGATATGTTATATTGATTGTTATTACGATTTGCACAAAATATTATTAGAAATGTTATACCCTCTCTCTGCAGAGTTGGAATATGTAGGAATCATCATGTCCTCTGTCCGTTGGTGCGTCTGTACGTCCGCCATATTTGTGGTTTTTATATGATAAAAGAGAACCGCTTTTGTAATTTACGGAATGGTTTGAACAACTAAACACCGGTTAAGCGCGATTTGTGTGTTTTTCACTTTTAACATTTCAGAGTTATGGTTCTTGATTGTTAAAAATTTTCGTCTCTACATGATAGATAGAGAACTACTTGAAAATAATTGAAATTTAAATGTAATTTTTTTGACCAATTAAGACCGGTTAATTCTGTGTTGGTCATTTTGACTTTTATTGTTCCCGAGTTATGGTACTTGATTGATCGTAAATTTCATTTTTGTTTGGTTTTCGGATAACACATGGAAAAGCTTTTTTTCAATTTGCTTGAAATTGTTATGGAATTCTGTGCACAATTAAACAAAGATTTTTTTCCGTTTTTACTATGATCATTTATTAGAATTTTGGTTTCCAGATGATAAATAGATATCTGCTATTTTAAATTAATTCAAATTTTAATTGAATGTTTTTGACCACCAAAGACGGATTACAAAATGTAAGTTGGATGATCGTCGTTTTCACAATTACCTTTCCAGAGTTATGGTACTAAAATGTTGGAAAAGTTCAAGTGTTAAGGTTGCTGAGTAATAAATGGAGATTTTTCTGTCAAATTAATTGAAATTTGACTAGAACCTTTTTGGACCACTAAGCACAAGTTAAGTACGATTTTCGCCATTGTCACTTTTACCGTTCCAGAGTTACTTGATTGTTGAAAAAATTCAAATTTCGTGCTTTCGGGAAAATGATTTGAGAAACCCTTTATGATCTTTTAATGGAATGTTTGGTACAACGAAACACAGATTAAATTTGATTTTTGTCGTTTTAACTTACCATTCCAAAGTGATGATTTTTGACAATTAGAAAAATTCAAAATTTTATGGCTTTCTGGAATATAAATTTGATTTATGTCGTTCTCACTTTTACCATTCCAGTTTATGGTACATGCATGTTTCAAAAAATGAAAATTTTGTGGTTTCCAGATATTAAAAGCAAAACACCTTTTTTGAAATTTATTTCAATTTTAAATGTGTAGAACCACTTATAACAGGTTTTCTGTTATCGTCATTGTCACATTTACCGTTCAAGAGTTACGGTACTTGATTGTTGAAAAAAAATAAAGTGGTTTCCGGATGAAATTACTTGAAATATTTATGGAATGTTTCCAACCATTAAACACAGGTTAAGTTCGCTTTTATTTGTTTTCAATATTCACATTCAACACACTACAAACCAGTAAAAGTCTGAAATGGCCTATATCTGTACTCGACTGTACTGATTTTTACTCGACCAGTCTGAATTGGTCTGAATTTTACTCAACATTACTCGACCCCAGTCTTAACCATACTCGACTGTACTGATTTGTACTTGACCCTTATCTTTGCCATTGAAAATAGTCTGAACTATTACTCGACCAGTCTGAAACAGTCTTAACCCATCAGGCATGGGGTAATGCAAATTTGTAATTGTAATGCATGGTAATGCATTACATTTTTCCAAGTAATGGCATGTAATGTGTAATGCAGCAATTTGTGCATTACATTTAATTGTAATATAATGCATTACTTTAGCAAAAAGTTGTGTAATTTCATGCATTACATGGCATTACATGTCATTACTTTTTTCACATACTACATCTTTAACATATTGTTGGAGTTTTAACTAAACCAAATTTAAGATTTCTTGATTAACTAAGAATATGTAAATCATTAGAATACATTCTTTATTTCATCTTATTTCATACATTTCCCTGCATAAAAAGATTGATATTTGAAAAGCATAACTGTATTGTTGTCATAAGATCAAAGAATATCTTGTCTTGCTTAAATAAAAGATAATTAAACTTTGTTATAAAACACTAATTAGTTTGTTTTACAATCAATACTTTCACCATTTGGACAATTGTTCATTAATTAAGGTCTATGTTTATTTTATAATTAGGGAAGTAATTCACAGTAATTAAATATTTTGTTTAAAATTAAAAAAAACAACAAAACGTATATTTATAAAAGTAAAGTCAACATTAAGTTAAAATAATTAAAATTGTAACAATCGAATTAAATAGACTTTTTACATGTATACTTATATTCAATTCACGGAACAGTTACTGCAAATGCTAGAATCTTTTGTGACTTCTAGTTGTTTTTCAAAATGATTAATTTTTCTATTCACTTAATAAAATTTTCAATTGTAATGTGTAATTCAAGGCATTACTTTGCAAAAGTAATTGTAATATAATGCATTACTTTGATAAATGCATGTAATTGTAATTGTAATATAATGCATGGTTTGGTCAAAGTAATTGTAATATAATGCATTACATTGCAATGTAATTCGCCCCATGTCTGTAACCCATTCTCTACCTGTACTCGACCTATTTTTTTCAGTCTAAACCATACTCGACCAAAGGTCTGAACAATATTCGACCAGTCTGAACCATACTTGACCAAATAACCTCTACTTTATCTAAATTTTAACTGTTAAAATAAATTTCTTTTTAACTGACATGACAACAGCCACAATAAAATAAAGATATATTATAAAAAAGATTTTTACATTCTTACATGATTCTCAGATTTATCGAATAGAGATCGTTAAATCAAATTATCTTATATAATAATTTAAATATATTAATTTTAAAGTTTTAGAGTTTTGTTAAAAAAAGATTTTCTTTTACCTAAAAACCACACCTATACTGAGGGTAATTAAACCTTATTAAGGTGCTTCTTGTTTGGCATGTGTTTTTTTTTTTAAATTAATTTTCCTAAATTCCTAAATAAAAACTACATAGGTTTCATGGTTACATACAAAAAATGTACAATAGTTATATAATTATCTTTTTAATGAGGTTATAACAGCCAACAAAATCACTGAAATTGTTTAACCTTATTTTAGAAATGTATCTATTATTATAATTTGGGATATATTATATACAATATATATCAAAAAGGGATAAGAATTAAAGAAATTAATAAAATTGTTCTTCTGATTAGTGGTGAAGTATAAAGTAATACCTCCTGCTTGGGGCAAACTCATGAAAAAGATCACACCTGGTCAGAGAGTATTAAATTCTAAATAACATTCATTCAAAATTGCAACATCCTGTGAAACTTAAATCGCAAGGCCTTTTGAATTCACTAGATAAGTAATACACGAGTTTAAGAAAAATAGGGCTTTCTTTTTACCTGTACTGATGTAATTAAA